ACGACTAGTAACGACTATTATTGCATTAGAGGCGCTCTTGTAAGCATTCATTAACGTTGCTCATCTCATAACGATTAAAACTCTTTGTAAAGGAACTAGTCTGAACTAGTGTTCCGTGAGTACGAGGCAGTGAGCTGCTCAGACGACCTACGTGATCGTGATGAATCATTGGGACATTCATGCCACAACTGTGCTTCTCCATCTGCGTTCAAACCTTCTAATGTATATCGTATTTCTAGCAGTACATAACAAGAAACAATCCATCGACGATCAAGATTGTCGCGTATGCAAGGAACACACAGCCGTCACTGTTGCATCTAACGAAGAGAAAGGCACAACTACAGTTTGTGCGATATCATCACGGCCCAACATGGTACCGAACCACTAAAAGACAGGTAAAATACACATCATCAGAATGTAGCCAAAGTGAGTTCTTTGTTAGCGTCATCTAATATGCAATAATTTCTATGGTGTGCTCCAATCCATTTTCTGTTGTGAATAATGACGCGTTATTTCGGACGGGAAGTCATCCTTGCAAAAGCTGTGTTTCTTCGCTTGGTGCTTAGGCCTAGGTTCAAGAATGTAAAGTCATCCCGAGGAGCATAGAGCCAGATAGGAGAGCTTCTTTCGAATTACAGTTGAACGTCGGATTTCTGTTAGAGGATTTGAGAGTGGATTTGACGTGTATATTCTCCAGGGACCACCTGTACATGCAATCAATTTTCAATCGATCCGCAACTATCTCGTCTACATTGCCGCGGAATATCAATCAGGCAAGCTACTTGGACTTTTGGGATTGACAAGCGGAAGGAGATATCTCGAAAATCGGAGATTTCAGTGATAAGTATAAGATGCTCATGAAGTTCAGCTCCCTGTATCTCACTATAAATACTTGATTGTGTGCAGAGCGAATATCAAATCGTGGGTGCAGTGCCAGTAGGTTGGACCTTCCGGATCATTCACTGATTGGAAGAAAGGTATCCTGAGCGCGTCGGTAGAAAGGAATTCGACGCGTTTTTACGTGTTATTACGTCGAAAAACGTTTGTAGTAGTGAATTCGAAGACAAGGGACGCGATTTAGAACGGTCCAATGCTAGAGGGGCGCGAGCGGTGGGCTGCGGTGGGCCGGTGAGAGTGAAAGTGATGCCATGAGGCCCAAGGAACGCCACTCAATATACATATATGTTCATAGAATAACACAGGAATCATGAAACGCCCAAGAGAATATGGAGACTCGGAGACTCTGATTCGGCCTGAAGATTTGTCCTTGTCTGGGCGGACGTACTGAAATTAACCTTCTTAGTACAAGGAAACGGCGGTAAGTTACTAAGTATATAGTAATAATAACTTTGTAGAAATAACTTTGTAGTTAGATGCAGAACAAGGCGAGTAGAGAGATTGTCGCTATAGTTATCAAGTACGAATTCGAAGAGGCTGATGGGCGCTTTGAGAGAATTTAGTACAAAACATGATCAGCCGTAGTATAAATAATTTGGTAAAGAAGTGAAATTCCCAGACCCTTTCCCTCCTGCCACTTTGTTCTTCCAGCACTGCGTTAGGCGGTTGCTTTTTCAGGTCTTCTAGATGCCTTCTCTTCGTCGCTCTGTCTCTTCGCCAGTCGTCCATGCCCGGTCTTCTCCTTACCCGACATTGTCGTCTTCGAACAGCGGTCCAGCGACAAGGCCAGGTCATAGTCACCGGCGTTCATCTGGTTCAGAAACTGCGACCAGAAGAGTTTTAGCTGACATTGAATGGTGGAGGGTCAGCGAGGGTCAGCGTGACCTAGAAGCTGTAGAAGCTGAAGAGGATTCCAGCGAGCCTTCTTCGCCTAGGACGCCAGAGAATCTCTTGGAGGGGTTAGTTTCGCCTGCCTGGCCAGGTTTCTCCGAGGTATGCGCTCTTTTTTCTTTTTTCTATCGATTTTTTTTTGCTGATCACGTTCCCAGTTCTTGCCTGAAGTTTTGACTGTTATTCCTCAGACTCCTCCTCGTCGCGGGCATCGTCTTGAATCTTCTACTTCTTCACTCGAGTCTACACCAGAGTCCTCGGACGGTCCTATGGAAGGACTCCGATTAGGACTGCAATACGTGAGCCTGGGTCCATCGGATGCAAGCTTGCCTCCAGCCCACTCCAACGAGCAAGCTTTTGCTTTCACGTTGCTTTCTCGTTCTCGTTCATTCGTGAACCAAAGCAACAGTGACGTTCAAAGAGATTTCGATTATCCCGTATTCGCCGTATCTTCCCTTTCCCATTCGCCGGAAATCTGCAACTGAAAAACTCGGGTACTCCGACCAGGCATTTACGAATTCTCTTTACGAGCGGCTCCAACCAAAAAAACACCCGTGTTTTGTCCTTTCTTTTCTTGATACTCACTCCATCGCGTCCCGGTGTACAATTTTCTCGTCGTCTTCCATCCCACTGCACTGCATTTATTCCCCTGTTCAAAAACTTGTCGCAATCTCCACATTCCCGCCTCTTTTGCATTGTTACACGATATCTCCACGACACTTGAAGCCGTCATTTTCATTGGGTCATTAGCTGTCTCCACCAATATCTCATTCATCTATTCTGATTTATCATTCACATTTATACAAAACTTCATCTGGACAGCTAATGCAATTTCTTTCACGACATATACATATCTAGCCCCTTCCACGTATCTTCATTTCATACGTCCTTCAAAAATTATCTACATAGCAGTGACAAGCCCGCATAACTTTTTCTCCACCTTGTTTTCCATCAATGTAACGACTAGACATGCATTCATCGCTCCATTTGTCCTACTGTTCTTTTCAAAAATTTGTGTTTTGCTTTTCATCGCGCTCACGATCTGTCACGAATTTGTACCAAGTAACCTAAATGTTGTTATACGAATCAATACGCTCTGCCTGGCTCGGAAATGAAATTGTAATATTACAGAGGGGTAGCGCGCAAAGGCTCCAAGCCTTGTAAAGCTATTGAATGATGTGGTAGGATCTCCATGTGCAGCCAAGCGTAGCCGGCTAGAATTGATCCTGGACTTACAGAGGCACCCCGCGCACGGGCGTGATTTCACACTGCCTGTGGGTTCGGAAGAACGGACCCCGGGGTGCTTTCTTATCGCTCCAAACCAAATATGACGCGCGGACCAGCCACCTTGCTCCATTTAGAGGATTGCAAGGGTCCGTAGCGCCATTCGACTTGGGGAATTGGCTGCGAGGGTCGGGAGATGGCAGATGACGCCGCGGGAGGGCCTGAAGGAGGAGGTCGTGATGGTGGGGGTGCAACCGGCGGCGCTTGGTTCTGCGCAGCTCCTTGGCGAGCCTTCCATGCCGTACGGATGTGATTCGAACGCGACAAAAGCTAGAGGGTACCATTTGAGAAAACCGAGTATTACTATTTGAAAAACTGAATCATCCAACTCACGGTGTCCTTTTCGACCCCATCAGCGATACTTGAGATTATATTCTCGACGACACCTTTATGATTCCCGTTGGGCTTGTCGTCGCGAAAACGCATCATCCGCCAGCCCTTGACGGCGGCATCCCAATGAACTTCCACTATTCGATCGTCGTATTGCTCTCCCGAAGCTTTCATTCTGCTCATATTGTATGAGGAAACAACGACAAGGTGAATGGAGGGGACCCGCAACTTGCCTTTCCCATTCATTGTCATCCACGTACATCTCGTCGTACTGTTCGTACCGAGGGACTCCATTCTGATCTCCGCACCAGACGTGTAGTAGAAAAACGGGTTTTGCGCTAAAGTCCGGCTGGGAAGGGTTGGAAAAGAGAGGAGGGAAGCGAAGGACGAGTTTGAAATCGATTGAATTCTCCGATGGAGGCTTCCATTTTATGCTGTCGAGAAAAGAGTCAGAGCTACGGAGTAAGCGGGGATTAAGAGCCGCTTACATGTTGGAATCGGTACCGGGGCTGTAGGGTGTGGTGACGCAGGTGTAGATGAGCCCGTCGGTTTCGTGGTGGAGGGCGGGTATGTCCATTAAGAATACCTGCTCTACATTATACGCAGAGCGGATTTCCTTGACTTTGATACTGTGGTGCTGCTTGAGAGAGAGAAGACGGGTACATCAAAAGAACGTACTGGAAGGGATGTGAGGATGCAACATGCGGATGATCACGTATCATCTTTGCATACGGCTTGTAAAACCACTCGTTTAATCTCTTTGGAAGCATGAGTAACGGGTAACGGGGGTGCTTATCGTAGAAGGGAGGAAGAACTGACCCCATAACGCTTATCTAGCGTACGAGACATTACATTCTGGTTGTCCACCACGAGGCAATCGAAAACCAGTAGACGGGGAGTTTCCTGAAAGGCGGAGAGTTTAAAAAAACGAGGCCGTTCAAGGAATTCTGGGTTGGAGACCTCACCCGTCGTGTCCTCGGATCGATATCGATAACCAGCTCACAATCGACGATGGTATTTCTGAGTGGAATCATAGGGTTTTCATGGTGAGGAAAGAAGAGGCCAACCAGTTCACGATACGTATTGTGACGATCGATCTACAAGGGCAGCTGGTCAGTTTAATGGTGTTAGAGCTGGGCGGATTACGCACCAGAAAAACTCTCTGGCCAGCATCGTCGAATAGAATCAATAATAGAACGCGTATTCCGTCAGATTTTTCACAAACCCAGAAGCTGTTATAAACGGATTAGAAAGATCCAACGTGTCAAATAATGCTCACTCTTGGCCTTCGAGCTTTAGCAAATCTCTTGTGCCAAAACTGACGGGCTGCGATCCAGGAAATCTAGAAGATTGTAAAATGCTGCCCAGTTGTTTTTGGCAGGGAAGCGTACCTTTCGTTTTCGAGCTGGCACAGACCTGCAACAGAACGCTTCAACCAGTGTTCTTCAGGTGAGTGCTTTGGAATGACATTTCCAGGCAGGTCCGGTACTGGCATTCGATAAGAAAGGATTTTTTTGGCCGGACCGCGGCGGAGCACAGGCGCCTATTGACGGTAAGCGCTTGGAAAAAATTAACGCCTTAATACTCAGAGTGGCTAGCGATCTCGGTGGGGATCGAACCCACAATCTCTAGCTAGTATAACTCTGCACCGGAAACTAGCGCCTTGCCATTAGGCCACGAGACCGTCGTTAGACTTCATTCCTGTCTTAATACATCGACCAAAGCCCAAAATCCTATCTAAATCGACGCCGAGCCTATCTATGTCTGCTCCATTGCTGGAAAGCTATTGTCATCTTTCTGAAGATCATGGTGGTACTATCGCTCTACCGAGAGATACACCTGTTGTAAGGGATTTTGATAAACCAATCTTGGAAGTGGCTAACGCCTTAGCCACTCTCTGCGTTCATGATCCTCAATCAGACGTTTACGCCGTGGCATTACGCCTCACCGGAGATTCCTTGAAAATCTATGTCGCCGAGAATAACGGAGTGCCAGAGAAGACGAAGAACCACCTCGAAAAGTTGCTATCCAAACTCTCCCAGATCGCTACCGCCAGTCAATCTGCCCTCGAAAATACGCCTCCCCTCGAAGACGCTACTACCGAATCCCAAAAGAATGACTTTGGAGCTATAGTTCTCAAACACTCTTTCCCAAAGTTCCTCCATAGTCTTACGAAACGCGGCACACCATGGACAAAACGAGTTGCTAGAATCAAGGAAGATCTGGGTGACGGGGACGATAAGGCGGAAATGTTCCAGACGATCGTCAACAATTTGGATGCGATTGATGGAATCGCTCATTTATACGACGACACACAGAAAGAATGGATCTTGCCAATGCTCTACAAGTGCCTTTCAGAGCTTGACACAGTCATTCGTAGAAGTTCGGCGACACCGCTCATTACCGAAATGCTTAAAATGATCGATCCTGGTGACGAGGATGCTCTCACTCGATTAGCTGAGCTTGAGGATGATACAGATATCAATGCAGATGGCACTTTACGGCGTGGTTCGTCTTGTTTTTCACTCCTCACAATTACTATTACTTATACCTGACCCTTTTACAAGGGTTTTCCATGACCCGATTCATCTACAGACTTCTAGCAATTGAAATCCATACCCGTCGCCTCCTACGGCTTGCAGTCTCGCCGAGCTTTGTCAAAATTTTCACAAACCCAGTAGAGATCGAGTGCTGCCCACTCCGCGAACGGTCAATAACGATCTATCCTCATAATTCGTTGAAATTGGGAACTCCCGGTCTAGTCTCCTCCTTTGAGACGACAAAAGAGGTCAAAGTCTCCTTGCATGCAGAGCTTAATGTCTTCCAGAGGCTTCTTGAAGCTGCATTGATGAAGAAGGAACAGCCCTACTGGGTGATTGGTATCTCGAAATTGATGTGTGTTGGCTGCTATACTGTGATTGCAAAGGCGTTTCCTGCCATCCTTCAACGACATACGGTGCACGGCCTTGTGTGTTCTTCTTTCTGCTTCATTCATTCCTGAAATTTCTGACCGGTACTTATTACAGACTCCTATCACGGTCCAAGGCAGTGATGGCAAACTATCTTCTCCGTGGGCAGCACCAGATCTATCATTCGCTGAGCAGTACGTCGGATTTGATTTAAATCTTGAAGTTCGTGAATGTACAGAGAAATTCATCCGGGGCGCTCTTTGTCGGTATGCAGAGCACCGTAGTCTATCTAATAAAGGTGCGTACCATCGTCTGCCTTAGCATTGATCATTCATTCTTTGTGCCAGCAGAACAGAACCCGCATCATAACCGAATCCCTGATGCTTATTCTCTTGCTCTTTCTAGTTTAAGGAAGACATAAAAGTAAGGGCTGCGATGTCCTCCCATACCACAATTGGCTAACACTTGCTTCCTCTCCTATTGTACATAGATAGCTATGCTTATATGACCTTCGTTCTGGACTCTGGCTGAGTATAGTATTTACTTCTCAGTGAGTCTGGACGTCATCAAAACATATCCATCGGCGTCATACGCAGCATCATCGAATTATCTTTATATAAAACGGGCACAACTAAACCTCAATCCAAGCCATTTTTGAATCCTAAAACATCATGCAAGCAATAGCGAACAAATTCCAAGATGTACGTATGTCTTCGAGCCCCGACTCTCACTGAACAAAGAAAGAAATTTATTGTTTTCCTTCATCACCCAGCAATTAGGCACTATCCCAACCGATATCCACCCTGAATACAACCATGTCGAAGGGGACCCCACGATGAAGGCATTAACCTGGTTCGGCGCGGGGGATGTCAGAGTCATCGATGCGCCTATCCCAGATATAACCGAGCCGGACGATGTTATTCTGCAGGTGACTGGGACCACGATATGTGGTTCGGATCTACATCTGTAAGTGACAGTATTCTTTGACAAGTATTCTCTACACATCTACTTACGTGGATTACTAGATACCATGGCGAGATTATGGCCTTGCAGAAGGGCGATATACTGGGACACGAGGTAACGCGTTGTATATGTGCTGAGATATACGGATACACTAACCGTGATGCGATGTTAAAGTTCATGGGAAAAGTATTTAAAGTCGGGCCCAACGTCAAGAACCTCAAACCCGGTCAACGAGTCGTCTCCTCTTTCCAAATCGCCTGTGGAAAATGCGAATACTGCAAGCAAAACCTGTCTTCATTCTGTGATCGAACGAACAGCTCATCGTGCGTGTTTGGTCTTACTATACATAATATACATAAAACCCTATGTTAAATAACCCTTTTTTTTTCGCTTTCGCTCCAGACTCCAAAATTACATGTACGGCCAACGCGATGCAGGTTTTTTCGGCTACTCCCACTTCACCGGTGGCTTCCCCGGCGGCCAAGCCGAATACGTCCGCGTCCCAATCGGCGAAGTCAACCTCCTCCCGATCCCAGATAGCGTCCCCGACGAAAAAGCCATCTACCTCTCAGACGTGCTGCCAACTAGCTACCACACTGTCGTTGATACTGGTGTCAAAGTAGGAGATGTAGTAGGTATCTGGGTAAGTACGTCGCCGATTCGACTCTTGTTGCATTACTTACTCGACTTGTGTGTTCCTATACACAGGGTCTCGGCCCCATAGGCCAATGTGCTGCCCGATGGGCACTCCTTAAAGGAGCCTCCCGCGTCATCGGTATAGACCAAATTCCTTCTCGGCTGCATTTCGCCGAAAGCAAGTCTGGTGTCGAGACTATCGATTTTAGCCAGTACAAAGATATTCCGAAGCGGATTTACGAAATCTGCCCGAGAGGGTTGGATGTAGCGCTTGATTGTGGTGAGTTTTAGGTGACACTACTTAACCCACTACCTACCTATATACTACTACTAATGCACTACTGAACCACTAACATCTCTCCTTCCTAGGTACTTTCCACGAACCAAAATCCCTAGTCCACAAAGTCCAAAAAACTCTGATGTTAGAAACCGATGTGCCTGAAACTATAAACGAGATGATAGTTTCTGTGCGCAAGATGGGAAGCTGTGGGATTATTGCAGCGTATGCGGGATATGCGAATGGTGTGAATGTGGGGGCGTTGATGGAGAAAGGCGTTCGGTAAGTGTGTCAGACTGTTTAAGTTTTGTTCGCTATGTCTATTTTCTCCTAATCCTTCCTTAAACCGGGTCGAACCCTGTAACCCTTTCCCTTATCATTGCCTCACTGACCACCTTCTTACAGCCTTATCGGAAATGGTCAAGCGCCTGTATTGAAATATTGGAAAGAGATTTTGCAAGACTATATCATCCCAGGGAAATTTGACCCTACATTGTACGTTCCTTTCAGCCACCCATCCATACCTTCATATCTATCCCTTATGCGCTCGATGTCGATGCTTATGAATACTTATGTATATACTTTCCTAGCATGATAACCCACAGAGTCCCAATCGACGATATCGCAAAACTCTACTCCGCGTTCGACAATCGCATTGACGGTGTGGAAAAGGTGTTTGTTGAAACGCAGTTTTCGGCCCCTCCAAGTCAGGGCTGTCCGAGAACTAGGCGAGTTGATGAGTGGAGCGAGGGTAGGTGAATGTAAGAGTTGTATGATTATCGAGGGTCGAGGGACGTGTATGACGTCGGTTTTCATCGTTTAAAGAGGCCTATTGATCGTACTTCGGTGTTCGGGTACATCCTACTTTACATCAGAAAATGTACTTTGTTTGTGTACTTTGTTGGCATTGTAGGCATCCAAAAGCATGTAATACTCTTTTGACTCCGACTAGGTGTGCATTAGATGCTATTAGATGCCATTAGATACCGAAAGGCAGAGATCTGTAGATACTAAATTTTGATCCAACAAGTGCCGGAGCACATGATTGGCACATGCTCGCGCGATTTGTTCTCCGGGCAGCAAGATAGCGCCGTCGTTGAAGAAACACCGACTATTCCTAAATGGGACCGCGTCGGTTTTTCATTTCCTTTCCATCACTCGGATGGCTCAAATGCTTTTCCATACTGCGATACTGGGCATTTGCTCACTTGTACATGCGGCGCGACGTTGACTTTGGAAGGAAGGAAGGAAGGAAGAACCGGCGCGGTCCCATTGGCGTTCGTGTTTTTGCCGTCGGATCAGATCATTTATCTGCACTCAAACGAAGTCAATCAAGTGCTAGTGATAATTAACGAAAGTTAACGATTAGTTATGCATAGTCAATAGTAGAAGTAAGAGTATGTAAGTACTAGAGTAACAGCAAATAATGTAAGATGAAGGAGCAAGGTGTGACCTCAAGTACAGAACAGCAGCAACACAGAGGGCAATTGGAGGGCAAGACAGAGGGTTATGTACATATACGAAGTAGAAATATTCACTTGAAGTACGTCAAGTCAGTAGAATCAATGTATTTTGATCACGAAGTACATTAAATGATGAAAACCGACCTTATAGACGTGTTCTTGAGCTTTGTGTGAGCGTCTTGTGATGCATGTACTTCAGTCGGGCGTAATTGTACTTCAGTCGGGCGTAATTGTACTTCAGTCGGGCGTAATTGTACTTCAGTCGGGCGTAATTGTACTTCAGTCGGGCGTAATTGTACTTCAGTCGGGCGTAATTGTACTTCAGTCGGGCGTAATTGTACTTCAGTCAGGCCAAAGGGAACAATAGGCGTGGTGAATGTCATCAAGATTCGTCGCAATCGTTACTGGTTGTATACATGGTTTATTCTAATATTGT